TTCGACTTTGCAATATCGATTACAAAAATTCGATGCAAGTAAAATCGAACTACTCTCGTAGTGTAGACAAGGCCATATGTATTACAATATGGTCTTTCGTTACATCAACAGACAATGCCAGGAAATGTAAAGATACAGCTCATCAAAATAAATAAATGTAACAGTCTACGCTATTAGCCTGCCAAGAGTGCTTTATAGTCTTAAAATGTATATACACTGGATACATTTCACCCACCACTGAAACACAGGAACCTTTGGAGAGGACAGCAGCAGTTATTTCTTGACACCTAGCAACAGTTTAGGGCAGTGTAGCGGTGCAGACCCACCAGCGCGGTGCCTCCTGCTGGTCGTGCTGGGAATTAGCTCTCTCAGACCACCAGGGCACCTTTTACTAGCGGTGCCTCACTAGCCGCCCCTTCTACTTCCTCCTCCGTTTCCACCATCTGGACCCGTGTCGCTCCCGGACTGCATTGTCCTCTTCGGGACACGGCCCTCCAGCTGTGCCCCAGCCCGTTGTCTCCCCCCTTTTGGGGATAGGCAGCCCTCAGTCCTTCCACTAGCCTCAATGGCCAGTTGCAGTTTCTAGTCTAATCCCTGGCTTCAGGGGCAAACTGCAGTCTGGATTTAGACCACTCTCCTCATTGGCAAGTAGGGGTAAAGAGTGGGAGAGACCCGGGCCCATCCACTACTCTGGCTCCCGGCCCAGGGACCCTATAGCTTGCAGCCGCTTACTGCCCCTCCTGCTATTCCCACTGACTACATTCCCTGGGCCTCTTCCCCCATAGTCCTAGCACCTTCCCTTCCCTTTCTTCAGGGCCTCAGTCTGTCCATGGTCAGCCAAGAGCTCCCCTATTGCTCCGCTACCCTGCCCAGCACTGCAATATCTCCGGTGCTCCTCAGCAGACAGTTCTTCCCCTTTGTCTTTCAGGAAGAGACTGCCTTTGCTCTGTTGAGCAGCCCTTTATATACGGGCTGCTCCAGCAAGCCTTCTCTTGATTGGTTGAGTTCTGCACAGCCTCTCCAAGGCTGCCTTAACCCTTCTCCTGCCTGTGTGGGGCAGCCTCCCCACCACAGGCAGGGAGAAAAAAAGCACCATACCCAAATGAATGTGTGTAATTTTGAGTGATATCACAAAAAATCCTATTGTGCTGAATACATGGAAAGGAAAAATAGAAAGGTTGAAGTGGAAACAAAAACTGTGAATGTAATTATTTCTATGTGATTAAAATCTCAACTTCAATATTAATGTGTAAGGTTTTTGTACAGAAACAATAACAGCTTAGATGTTGTTTCCTTATTAGCAAACTCATTAACAGCATAAAACATTTTTTAAAACTAATTTTTCTTGCTGAGACATGTTCCATAAAAATTAGTCTGTCACGCTTGATCAAGATATAGCTACATGAAAGACCGATCAACTATAGCTAACCACCTATTGCAAAAAATGCAAACCTGCCAGGTTAATCATGAAAGATCAGGGTGTTTCCATTAAAATGAAGCATTTGACTCCCATTAAATCTCTATTTTTTATCCGAGAAGTTGACAGACTATTTGGAAGAACTGCAATTGGGCATTTGAAAGAGAGTACAGAGAAATCCCTGTTTAAGTCAGTAAAGTAATCTTCTTTGTGATCTAAGCTATAAGCAATTAATGCCCCTGACAGTACCATGCTCCACAATATTTAATGCTTTGTCAACATGACAAACACATTCCAGAGATTAATTTCCTCTCTCTTGTTGCATGATAAAAATGTTGCAATAAAATTTGAACAATTCAATAACTTGCAATGGTTTAGTATGAGCAGTGTTTTGTAATATAATTTAATGAGTCAAATCCAACATTTCAGCATTCTTAAAATTGACACTGATGTTTCCCAAGTTCCTAGAGGTAGTGATGGGATAGAGTTATGCATAAAAACTTACTGACATGGATGTTCAATATCAATTAAAACACAATAATATTTTAATCTACAATTTCAAAACAGTTATGAAAGAGTGCTAGTCTTGTCAAATAGCATTAAAGGGACAGTATCACTTTAGGTCCTGATCCTACATTCCGAGCCATATGAGCTGACCCTCTGCACACATGGGTATTCCATATGCTTCAATAGGATTCCACAACTGAAGCATCAGGTCCACACTTTCTGTCTGTAATGTTTCAGGTGACTATAACTGAAAGATTGGGATGGGAGGAGGAATTCACTGTTCTTTCATTGTATTTATTGTGTGCATTTAATAATGAAGGGACAGTCTTGGTATTGCCCTGTACAGTCAGTTTCCCCTGTTTGTGTGGGTCTTTCACACAAAAGAGAGGACCGAGAAATGTTTTCTAAAAATAAAAAAAGTGTAACTGTAAAAAAAAAAATTAGCTAAAGTTACCAGGTGATTGCAGGGGGAAGATGTAGTACCTGAAAGTCTTTTTAACTCTTATTTTAAATTAACCAGATTTCCAGTTGATGGTGCCCCTTTAACATCAGAAAAAGCAATGTATTCAAGTTGCCCTCTCCATAATACTTCAATGTCTCCCATGTCGCAGTTGTTGAATGTACAGTGTGTGGATGGATCTGGAGTTTGTGGACAATGTAAAAAGCTTTGGATCATCATGATACCCACCTCAAAAGTGCAGGTAATCCTTCTAGGATGGGGAGCTTCCTGTTGCAACTGATACACTGAGAGAAGGCAGAAGTTAAATACATTTCAGTTTTCTGCTTAACACAGAATTGTTTTTGTTAAATTAGGCATTTGAAAACATTAAATTTTGATTTAAAAAAAATACTTGCTGCAAGATTTTGTGCAGAGGGATACATAGGCCAAGATATTATAATTGATTCACAACTAATCAGAAACCACTCACTATTAGAATTCATTTATCTAATTAATTACTGTGTGATAACTGGGCAAGGTGGGGAAAAAACTAGACTCAGGCAGAAAAGAACAGAAGTTATGATCAATGCAAACTTCATTTTACAATACATCAAAAACATGTTGGTTCTACAACTCCGTTCTTCAGCAAGAGGATTCAGTTAGTGCTGTAAGGCACTGCTCACCTTCAACTCCCACTGATTTCACTTGGGACTGAAGCTATTCAGGACCTTGCAGAAGAAACTCAGAGCATTGTAGAATCAGGCCCTATGTCTTTATGATTGTTCACTAACCTTTCTGAGCAAACAAAATGTCATTTATGGCTGTGAACCTATGGTCATTCAGTGGGCAGTTTCCCATAGTTAAGGCCTAAAATGTAACCTATTTTAAAATGGGTAAACATACCAAAATATCTATTTTTGTTCTTTTAAAAATTGAGCCTCACTGAGACCAAGGCATTTTTAAAAGTAAGTTGTAAATTTATGATAGTAACATGCTACTTTGCTATAAAGGAGGGACATTCAGCTCCTCTTGATTTGGCAAATCACCTTAAAAAATGAGGCTGTCGATACTTATTTTATCTTTACAAAAATTTGGATCTGATTAGATTTCTTTCTGAAATAGACACAGAGATGTAATCCCTTAAAATTAAATTATCTTTCAAACAATATTACTAGCAAACAACTCTGATAACATGTGCTGTCACTTCTTTCACGTAATAAGAACATAAATTAGTTCATCCAATGAGATTTTATTTCATTATGTTTGGCATTTGACCATAACTATTTTTTTGACACTCATACTTCATTAAGATGCTAAGAATATAAGCATCACAATGGAGAAAATGGCTCAGTGTTAGATGACAAGTAAATATTCACACTAGAGATCCTTGTTCCAAATGGGGGTGGGGGAAGCAACATTTTTATCTTCATTTCATTTAAAACCTATTTCACCATTTTTAAAAATTGTTTTGCATAGATATGAAAAGGGTGATTTTGAAAGTGATGAAAAATAGCAAAATAATGTAAACTTTGCAACTTTTCATTGGAAGTACAGCATGAACATTTATTTTCCTCAGTTTCTATAAAACTATAAAAATAATATTTTATGCCACAAATGAAGAAATTATTCCCTGATCCAAATCTGATACTTGTGGAGAACTAGCTCAGGTTTTATAAGAAAAAATTGAGAGAAAATGGATAATTTTAGATCTAAAAATGTGATGATGGAAGTGACACGCTTTGTAGAGTACTAAAAAAATTTCAGGCTAATCATTTCTTGCCTCACATCAACATTAGAAAGATTTTCTGAAGATGATCTCCTCAAAGACTGGGCCTTTTATTCTTTGCAGGTCAGGAACACATTGTGTGGTCTGTCAAGTTATAAAATGTGCTCTCTATCCTTTTCCTATAACTGCTGCATGAGAACCAAGCTATCAGCTGCTGTTTCCTTGCCGCTACTATTGCTAGTGAACTCGAATAAGACATTCCTATTCATTCATCACGAGAGACAGCAACACAGGCAAATAATATGACTGTGTGCACTTACTTCTAATTATGGAAAATTATGAAAAACATAAGTTACATCTACAAATGATGTGTGTTGCTTTAAGTACTGGGCTAGCTACCAGTGAGGCTTTGGCATTGTAAAGGTTGGACACCTCATTATAGATCATGGTGTAACATAAAATGAATGAAAAGGCAGAGTTCACTGAGTTCACAGAAGGTACAGTATTGTGATTTATTATTAATATTTGCAACTGAAAGCAAAACATACAGAACTTGGTGACAAACACTAGATGAACGGCTGTTATGATTAATGATGCTTAATATTAAAGCTACAATGTGCTCCAATTTTATTCTTTAACCATCATCTACAAGGCAAAAGCCTGCTTCAAGTCACTTCATGTGTAAGTGCCTTTATTTTAAGTGACTGGCTTGACATATGGCAAGCCATTGATGTAATAAGTTATGATTCAAAGCCACACAGAGATTGCTTCTATGTTCAGATGCAGACTGAGGTTCCAACCACCGCAATTATGTGACAGCAGTTGAATGGGTTGGAGATTGTTACTCACATTCAGTTCCTTCAAATTCAACCATCTAAAGAGAAGACCAAAGACAGCTGGGGGGAAATCTTTAGCATTTCCCCCCATCCTTGCTGCTTATTTTTCATTCATTTCAATTAATTTAAAATAAGTTTTAAAAGGTTCTGGAGTTGCTAAAATGTTAAGGCCTATGCAGTGTTGCCAACTCTCTTGAATGTATCTTGAGTCTCACAGTATTAGGTGTTTTAGTTAAAGGCCCAGTGCCTGGAAATTAGAGATTATATAAGAATCTCAGCTTTGGGGATTTTTAAAAAAAATTTAAGTTTCTAGTCTTCATGGCGGCAGAGAAAAGCTTGAAACTATTACTTGAATTCATCTTAAATGCTCAGAAACCAGATGGCAAATAAAAAAAACCCCAACACTAATGTTTTGGGTTTTTTGAAGCATGACTCATGATTTTTGAATGTTTAGGGTTGGCAATGCTGTCTACAAAGTGCCTGTTGGAACAGAAACATCCAATCTCTGCAGGACTCATGGAAACTGAAAGTGAATGTTTCAGAAGAGATGGAAGTTCTGTGCATTTAGACCTAGAATATATTAGGGTTACCATACGTCCGTTTTTTCCCCGGACATGTCCTGCTTTTCGGCAATCAAACCCCCGTCCGGGGGGAATTGCCGAAAAGCCAAACATGTCCGGGAAAATGCCAGCCGGGCACTTCCCCTCCTGCGGCTGGTCTGCCCCGCTCCTCCCCTCTCAGACCTTAAGCGCCCAGCCGCCCGAGCCAGCGCTACCGGCTTCGGGCAGCCCCCCCCCCCCCCCCCCCCCCCCCCCCCCCCCCGGCCTCCGGACCCCGAGCCACGGGCCAGGCACTTTCCTTCCCGGGCTCCAGCTGCGCTGGGGAAGCGCCGGCCGGGGGCGCAGGGTCTAGGGCTGCCCGGCAAACCGTGAAGCCGGTAGCGCTGGGTCAGCCCTTTCCCCGTGGCTGGGAGTGGGAGGGAGGAGGGGGCGGAGTTAGGGCGGGGAAGGGGCGGAGTTGGGGCGGGGCTAGGGGGTGGGGAAATGGGCGGGGCCAGGGCCCGTGGAGGGTCCTCTTTTTTTATTTATTAGATACGGTAACCCTAGAATATATACTGTAGAGCAGCGGTTCTCAAACTATTGTACTGGTGACCCCTTTCACATAGCAAGCCTCTGAGTGTGACCCCCCCTTATAAATTAAAAACACTTGTTTATATATTTAACACCATTATAAATGTTGGAGGCAAACCAGGGTTTGGGGTGGAGGCTGACAGCTCATGCCCCCCCATGTAATAACCCTCTGAGGGGTTCCGAACCCCAGTTTGAGAACCCCTGCTGTAGAAAATAATCCTGCATTAGTAAAGGCATGAACTAAATGATTTAAAAGGTCTTTTTTTCTTCTTATTTCTATTATATATTTTCAGTTTAGAAGAATTATTTTAATCCATTCTCTATAAACTTTAGTAACATCTTACACTTCAAAAATATGCTTATACATTTTTTTGTCAAAGGTTAAACACAAACTTAAAACCTTGAACTCAGTAGAATAGATTCCATGATGTGCTGTCATGATCCAGCGTCCAAAAAAATGGATTTATTTCAAAATAAGTCCCAACTTACACAGGTGAATTCTTTCATTATGTTAAGTGCTGCTTTCATGTGTCTTTGGCAGTGCTGTTGCTAGCCCATTCGGGGCCCGAAGCAGGAATATTTTTGGGAGGGCCCTACACATACAACACATACTAATAATTAATAGGGGGCTCCTTGAGCTGCTTGGGGCCCTAAGCTTATGCCTAGCGCTGGCTCTAGTCCAGGGGTTGGCAACCTTTCAGAAGTGGTGTGCTTCATTTATTCACTCTAATTTAAGGTTTCGTGTGCCAGTAATATATTTTAACATTTTTAGAAAGTCTCTTTCTAGAAGTCAGGAATGAGAGGATGGGTCGGATGGGGTGGTGGGGAGTAGTCAGGGTTGGGGGTTCCGGGGGCTATCAGGGGACATGGAACGGGGAGGTTGGATGGTGCAGGAGTCCCAGGGGGCCATCAGGGGGCGAGAAGCAGGAGGAGTCGGATAGGGAGCGGGGGCCGGGCCCTGCCAGGCTGTTTGGGGGGGCACAGCCTCCCCTAACCGGCCCTCCATACAATTTCGGAAACCTGATGCAGCCCTCAGGCCAAAAAGTTTGCCTGCCCCTGTCTCAGAAGGACATCTAGCCTCAAAAATATGTCAGAAAACGTAGAGTTAGAGGCATTTTAAAAGTAGTTGTGTGGCCAAATACACACACACACACACACAGAAAATCTGCTGTTAAATAAAGGCTGATTCTTTCTCCCGTGCAAGAATCCGGGTCACTAACGCCCTTAGGCACTATGCCAGCAGGCCATACCTGTGCAAGTAGTCTCATTGACATTAATGGGAACACTCATGTGAGCAAGGTTTACAGAATCCAACCCCAGGGACTGTACAGATGCACTTGGCCTTTGGCATCAAGGAGTGCAAGTGTCTCCAAATGACAACATTTCCTGCTATTCTTCATATTAATGCACAACGTTTCTTGAGCTCATATCTCGATAAAAATGGTATTTCAATTGTTTTAAAAGCACTAGAAATGAAAGTTTTTTGTTACAATATTTTTAAAAAAATCTGTTTTAATACTTACAGTAAGATTTCCAAACAGGTGGTCGGTATTCATCAGTATCTGAAAGAATAATGACACTTATCTAAATACACTATTAAAAACAAGGTAAACACATTCCGGCAGAAGCGTTGTTAAATTCAGCAAGATAACTGTACAAAAATCTATGCTACTATTATTGGCATTTTAAAAGCTACAAAACGGGAGGTGTAAAAATGAACGCTCGAGCTAAGAGTTTTCTCTTCTTTACTTAGACATTTGTAAAGGTATTTTTCAAAACAAGGTGGAAGAAGAGCAATAGAATACCACTTGGCAAGATGGCCAATCTACACAGAACCCTAATGCTACTATAAATAGACGTGCAAAATTGGGAAGAAAAAGCATAATGCTTTCTTTAAATATGCTTTTTTAAAAAAGTTTGTATTAGAAAATGTTTCCTTAAAGATATTTAACTTAAGGTCAGATCAATCAACTTTCATTCCACCTATTAACAACCTAGTCCTTCTCTAAAGTGTTTTGGGATTGGGTGTATCCCTTTTGTGAGCTCTAGTGGAGTTCACTGTATTCTGTGTTTGTTTTAGAAGATGGTGTCACAAGAGGGCTCACAAACTATGTAAAGGGATACTACATTCTTCCACTGAAATCAGAGGCCAAACTCCTATAGACTTCAATGCTAGTAGGATCAGGCCCTACATTTGTGAAAGCAAGAGAACTGGAAGGTATCAATCTGTATAAGAAGCAATATTGTAACTTTATTCCACTGAGCTCTCTTCTTTTTCAAATCTTCTAATTACATTGATCCCAGCTAATCCTTGATTTGCAATCTGATACACTTCACAGCATATAAATAATACTGAAGAAGTTGCAAAAAACTTGCATTCCTTTTATATTGAGTACAAGCTTCACATAGTAAAAATTATCAGATGCCGTAAGAATACCACGAGTATCTCTCCAAATGGAAATCTTGCAAACCTCAAACTTTAATTCTTGTCATATACTTTGGAGTTTGTCATAAAAATAAATTGGTTTTCTAGGTTCTGTCTGTCTTGTAACTTGCTGACAATTTACCAGATGTTTTAAATTACAATGTTCTGTGACAAAAATAGGGCTCGATTCTGGCCCTCATTGCAGCTGCTGTGTGTCAGTTCACTGGTTCCTCTACTCCTATCAGGTAGCCCCTAACTTTGGTTTTGATCCCATGAGCTACTGATCCTACAAGATGATGAGCTACCTCACCTCCCATTGCAGTTGATGGGAGTCAGTGGCACTCTGCATGTTGTAGGATCTATGAAACACAATCACACTTGAGAATAGATGACAGTGTCTTCTGCTACACCACAACTTTTGGTAGGCAAATATCTGCTGGCACTGATGCTGTCTGATGCATCACATATACCCCCTTGACTTCTGACTATCATCTTGAAGACACTAACAGAAGATGTTTGTCTAAAAGATGTGCACTAGCTCAAACAGAAGTTAATTCAGGGAAGTCCTATGGCCTGTGTTATTCAGGTCAGACAAAATCACCACAATGGTTCATTCTGGTCTTATGATCTATCTATCTGACTACGTTCGAGACCTCTTCTTTGAGTCTTGGAGTGACAGACATCTTTACTCAGGCATCATCGATCCACCTTCCAGGGATTCTATTATCAAACCTGAGGTTGAGAAAATCTTTGGCTTGCATTCCCTTAGAGCAGGGGTGGGCAAACTACGGCCCACGGGCCGCATCTGGCCCGTGAGCCGGTTTAAGCCGGCCCGCAAGGCATACCACGCAGCTGGGCCCCACTCCAGCCAGGGCGCTGGGTCAGGGGCTGCACCTGCGACTCAGCCCCGCTCCGGCTGGGGCGCTGGGTCGGGGGCTGCACCATGCAACTCAGCCCCGCTCCGGCCGGGGCACTGGGTCGGGGACTGCACCACATGGCTGGGCCCCGCTCCAGGGCTTTGGCTGGGGCGCAGGGCCACACCACTTGGCTCCCAGAAGCCGCGGCATGGCCCTGCTCCGGCTCCTACGCACTCCAATGGGAGCTGCAGGGGCGGTGCCTGCGGATGGGGCAGCGTGCAGAGCCGCCTGGCCGTGTCTCCGTGTAGGAGCCGGAGAAGGAACATGCCACTTGAGGTAAGCGCCGCTCACAGCCTGCACCCCTGAGCCTCTCCCCATGCCCCAACCCCTTGCCCCAGCCCTGATCCCCCTCCTGCTCTCCAAACCCCTCGATCCCAGCCCGGAGCACCCTCCTGCACCCCAAACCTCTCATTCCCAGCCCCACCCCAGAGCCTGCACCCCCTCCCATCACCCAACCCCAATTTTGTGAGCATTCATAGCCCGCCATACAATTATTATTCCCCAATGTGGCCCTCGGGCCAAAAAGTTTGCCCACCCCTGCCTTAGGGTAAGGAACTTACTTCCTGTGGATATTTACCTTAACCCACCACCTCCCCATTCAGAAACATTTGTAAACACTTCTAATTCAGGAATGTTTTCTATTTTAATTGCTATCACCTATGGATGGTAACTCCTCCACCTTGCATTTTCCACCATATTTGTATAGCTGTCATTTTGTCTGGCTTTTTATTATCTATTTTGTATGACATTTTAACTACTATATAGGATTATCATATATTATTTGCTTATAGAGTGCCTCAAGTGCCTTGGTATTAGGACCTTTTATAAATATTATATTGTTATTAATAAGTGAGCATCTGGGTGAGATAAATGGATTCCCAAAATCCCATTTCTAAATCCCCAAGAGATCATGCAGACATGCTACCATCTCATGGTTGCCTGCCAAGTGTCTCACAACAGCACAGAGGTTTTTAGCTGTCCACCCTATGCTGTGTCATTGAAAGACCATCATCAGTAGACACATTAAGGAATATCCGTTCCTAATTTTTATTTTATTTCAAGTTAAAGCCATGTTAGGAAGTGCATGGTAGGAGCACTGGAACCTGATCCCTCAGCACTGTACTGTATGTCATATGAAAAATGGCAAAACCTGTGTCTAAAAATAATGGGCCCTTATTCCTAGAAGAATATGACTACACTATTAGCTGGCTTTTGGTCTACTGTTGCTACTTTATAAACATTTGCATCCATTTGATTTACAAATAAATGACAGGTAAAGGACATCATCCCCAAATTTTGTACAATGTGAGCTGACTATTACAAAAATACAAATATCTTGGCAGTTTAAACCATTTTTGAAGGAACTACAGCTATGTAATCATTACAACTAAGGGCATTATATTTGCAAAACTGAGAAGCAACAATATTTCTGCCTAAACAAAAAAATCTCGTTAAAGTCAAACAAGAACAGAGGTAACTTTCACATAACAATTTATAAAATTCAGAAACTGGAAGGAATGATTTATGTTCTGCAGCTGTGCACAAGTATTTTGTTTAGAAATCTGTCAGCATACTTTACTACCTTAACGCTGTTAGAGTTCCCAGAGAACATTCCACATTCGGGAATGAAAAACAAAAGGTCATTTCTATTGTAATTTTTTAAAATGTTCTCTGATATAAAATATGTAGCAGCAAGCACAGGATAATGACAATAATGAAGGAGAGGTTTTATAGTGTACACTTGTGTCTGTAACAGAGCACTGTTGCTGTTAGCAATTGATAAACATTACTCTGCTACCCACTGATAAAAAAAGTCTAAACACCACATGGAACTATTAAAATCTGTTTTAAAAAATTATGAATGTGGACCAAATTTTCAAAAATGAACTGTATTTTTGGGTGCACACTTTGTGAAGAGGCCTGATTTCCAGAGGGTAGGTGCTTTTTCTTTAAGGTGTCCAGTTGGGCATCCAAAAATTAAGATACCCAGATCACTGGTCTGTTTCTTTAAGTCACAATTCAGAGATAGAGAGATACAATGTGCTGCAAAACTGAACCAAAATATAAAGTTCCCACCAACAAAACAGTGTTTTTTAATTAATGATGTAAACTCTACTCTGTCAATCTCTCTCAGGTTTTTCTATAGCGCCTATCAGTGCAATACCTGAGCTCTGCTCTAAAGTTCTCATAATAAGATCAAACCATTTTCTGCAAGTTGTGCATCATGTTTTTCCTCTACAGTATTTTTTAGTTAATTTATATTTAATTAATCTGAATATTGAACCTGGTGCTGCAAACCCTTACTACTGGGTGTACTCCTACAGATGACAATTTGAGTACTCAATTGCTACACTCATTAGTAAGAGTTTTTAGGATCATGCTCATAGCACATTTTAGTAAATTTGCCACTTCAACCAGAGCTAGGATAATTTTACAGGCACAGAATTTAGATACTGTTACATAGAAGCAAGAAGTCTTGTTTGTAAAATAGCAATGCATCAGAAAAAAAACTGATAAATTTCCCTCCCCCAAGCAATTTTTGAAGTCTACAAAAATCTTGCGCTGATAAGGAAGGAAGAAAAAGAAAAGGGGATGTATAGAGGAGAGGCTATTGAAATACAATACTGGGATTTCTGAAAGCATCCTAGCCTAAAGCAGGGGTTCACACAACAAAATTTTTGGTGGCCTCAGAGTGCGGCCACCAACTCTTGCTGGTGGCCGCGCTGACACTTTTTCCTAAAATACTTAATTAACTTTAAGAAAATCAAAATAGATATGCATAAACACATATCCAAATTGTTATAATTTATTTGGATAGGGTTTTTTTCAAATTAAGTAATAAAAAAATTTAGGACAGTTCAGTAAGAAACAGCTGTTTTTTCAAAACCTGCACTAACTTCTTAGCTCCTAAAGATCCCTGTCACACATATTAATAAGGTTAAATGAAGAGAACATCATTTTACATTGATATAGCACTTTTCATCCCACTGAGACCCAAAGACATTTATAAAGTAAGGGGAAAATAGTGCAGGATATTTCCACATATTAAAAGCATGGACAGCATGAGGAGGCCACTGTCCACAGTTCTCGTATCCTGTAGTGGATTCCTGCTAAGTTGGACCAAGAGCAGAATCAGATCTGTCCCTGAGAGCAGTGTTTTGGCGCAGACCAGCAGAAGTGTATGTGCCATGAGAGACAGGAGTGGTCCTGGCTCCACACA